GCCCCCGGCCCGGGGCCTGCGCGTGGCCCGGTGGCTGGAGCCATCCTGTCCCACTGACACACTTTCTGCCCGTGGCCCCACGCGCTTGTGTAACACCGCTGCTGCCGTTAACCCTTCCCATCACCGCCGCCACCGCGGGACGGAGCCACGGCTGCACCCTGACCTCCCATGGGGGCATTTTAGGGCATTTTGGGGTGTTGACTTGAGCCAGGCCTGGGGATACCCGTTTGCTGCCCCAAGCCACAGCTCTCCGTGGGGGACACATGGTCCTGAGGGTCCTGGTCCCGTGTCACCCCCCAGAGGCACGTGTGTCCCCTCCAGCCCAGCACCACTTGTCCCGAACCAGGCAGGCGGCTCCGGTGGCTTTGGCAGAGCCAGAACCGCCCTCCCCAGAGCAAGACACGGCCTTCATCCCTGCGCCGGCGCACCCTCCTCTCCATCACCTCCACCCTGAGGGCAGGCATCCCTCTTGCACCCCAAAACAAGGCAGATCCTGCAGGATCCGGCCACGGGGGTCTGGACCCTCCCTCTGTGCCACAGGTGGCCCCATCCTCCTTCTCCTCTTCCTCCTCCTCCTCCTCCTCCTCCCCCACCTATTTCTTCCTCCTTGATTAGTGCATGGAGGCACCCAGGGGGTTAAGACACCATCCAAAATTAAGGAGCTAAAAGATGTAAAGAAAAGAGACAGGAGGAGAGGGGCAGGGGGGGAAGACATTTTGGGGAGCACTGGCAGGTCCCTGCGAAGCCCTTGGTGCAGGACCCCCCCAGGGTGAGCCCACACACCCTTCAACCTGTGGGGCTGGGGTCAGGATTTGGCCACCTCCTCCCCTGGGTTGGGCTACATGAAGCCACGGGGGCAAACCCAGCCCTGGGACCTGGCTCCCCCTTGCTGGAGGTGTGTGTGTGGGGGAGGAACAGCCCAGCTTCGGGTGTTTTGGAGGTGGCTCCGTGCCCCCGTGGCCGTCCCTGCCCCAAATACCCCCTCGGCTGCCAGGGAGAGAGCTGGGGCAGGCGGCTTCCCCGGTGCCCTGGCTCATTACCCAGCGAACCCGCTGGGAAAGTAGGTCTGTGCCCCCATCCCGCTGCCGCGATCGATGCCGCAAGGACGGGCACCTCCGGTAATTAGCAGCAGCCTCGCC